GGCCCGGAGGTCCACCGCGAACATGCCGTAGGTGCGCAGTGGGGCCAGCTCGCCATCACTGTCCACAAAGCGCAGGTCACTGGGGGCGGCAGCCGCCGAGGTGAGATCTCGGGGATCCACGAAGGTCACCCGAGCCTCCACGGGCCCCGAGTAGGGCTCTCCGTCAGCCCTGCGGAAGGCTCCAGGTGGGAGGACCAGCTCGCCCACAGGAGGCGCGTTTTCCAGCTCCCCCAGGGGGAGCGTGTTGCTCTGGCTGGCATCTAAGATGACGGTGGATTTCTTCCGCATGGCCTTCACCTCGTGGTACACACCAGCGCCTCGAGGGTCGAAAGGCAGGACCCTGACAGCGTCCATGAAATCGCCACTGGGTTCCACGAAAGTCACCACCAGGCGCTGGGTAGAGCGGGGCACCTCGATGGTGAAGTCGCCCTGGTAGGAGGTAAAGCCGATGGGCTCGAGACCCAGCAGGATCTGGGCAAATCGCAGCGGTTCCCCTGTGTCAGCGGCCACGACACGGCCCCGGACCAGCCCGCGAGGGGGCAGACATTTCTGGCAGCCACACTCGGCCACCACCTTGACAGGAAGGACGTAACTGGAGCAGTGGACCTGCCTGCTTTCCAGGCGGCGCACGGAGCAGCACCGGGAGCCTGCATCCCCACACCTGGGGCCAAAGCCTGCTGGGCCGGGGCACAGGGTGTCAGGGCAGAGGCCCACATCCAGATAGGCGGGGCCACTGCCCGGCTGACTGCAGTCGTCAGGGAGTTTGATCAGGTGCTCACGAGGCTGGGGGTCACAGGCTGGCTGTCCCGGAGCTGGAGAGCAAGAAACCAGCCAGATCAGGGTAAGGGGAGGGCTCCATTAGAGGCCAAGGGTGGGGGCTTGGACTGGGGTCAGGGGGTCAGTGGGGGCTTGGGATCAGACTCAGCAAGGTCCAAAGTCAGTTTGCCATTGGGGCTCCGTTGGAGGTTGAGTTAGGACTTGCTGGGGGAGGTGGCAGGGTGCTCACCAAGCACGATGAGCTCAGCAGCACCAGAGAGCACAGAGCCCGCGTCATTCCACGCTTTGCAGTGGTAGGTGCCTGCCTGGTCTGGACGCAGTCCCCGAAGCTCCAGGTGGGCCCCATACCTGTGCTCTCGCCTGTCCAGCAGGGTCCCGTTGTGAAACCTGGGTGGCGGGCGGGCAACACCATGGGGGCCCTTGGCACAGGTGTGGGCCGACACCGTCCCCACCCAGAACACAGCCCAGGGAGGAGGCAGAGCAGCTCCCTCCAGGTCTGTGAGGCACCAGGTACCATGAGAAATCCAATCCGATACCAAAGCTGGCACGGGGCCCTTGAACACGGGTCAGGGCACTCACCAGGAGTATTTCTTGGTGCCTGAGGCTTTGCAGCAGAAGGTCACATTCTGGCCTGCCTCTCGCACTCGGGGCTCGGGGTGCTTCACCAGGTGGGGCTTCTCTGAGGGCAAAGGTGGCAAAGGTCAGGGCACTGCCCCATCCCAACTTCTCCCAATGACACTTGCCAAGAGTAGGGTCCATCCTCTCCTTCTAGGGATGCCCTATTCCCCCAAGTCAGTTCACCCAACTCTGCTCAACATGATGCCCATCTTAATGCTTCTCTGCAACTCTGTCTTACCCCGCGCCTTCAATGACTGCATCACATCTCATTTCTTCCCCCAGTAACCTTGACCTATCACACCACCCCAATCCCAAGTGCTTGGTGTCACCCAGAACTTCCTCCCGTTTCTCGATCCCCTTTGCCACAAGGCACTTACCTAACTTATCAAGAACAATAGTGACCACAGCAGATATGGAGCTGTTGGCCCGGGCCTGGGCGGTACCAGCAGAGAAGCCATCCATTTGGGCACTGACGTTGGTCTGGCTGCTGGCACAGACTCCAGGCATCCAGAAGGTTCCATGGGCATCGCTGGTGGCCACAGTGCCAGGCCAGTCTCTCAGGGAGACCTTGGCCCCTGGTAGCGGCCGGCCAGATGGAGTGACCACTGAGCCCAGGAGGATGTGATTGGGGCATCCACACGTTTTGGAGCTGCACCCTGGAGGACACAGGGAGGCAGAGGGGCAGAAGGGCCTACACAGCAAAGGTGCCTCCGCATAGCACTGCTTAGAGCAGCCCCTAGTGTGAAGGGGAGGATGGGGCTGAGTGGTCAGCGCCGGACAGGGGGAGGGATCTGAGGTCCAGAGGGGTGAGGAAGATGCCCTGGGAGGGAACAGGGAAGGTGACTCCTTCCAGCATGAGAGAAAACGTCCAGGCGGGGGCTGGGGGCCCAGCAAGGGGCTGGGTCTTGAGCCCAGAAGATCTCCCTCCCCTCCCAACACGGTGGTTTCTCCACCAAATGGAAAATTCCACTGGAAACTTCAGGGCAGAGACGCCACAGGGAGAGCAGAGCCAGGCGGGTAGGGTGGGGACCCCACCACCCCATTGGCCATCATGCTCCCCCACCCGACTGCGGGCTCTGCCGGCACAGTCTCCAGAGCGTGTTTGTGAAGCCCAGGCCGGATCGGAATTTCCAGTCGCCTCCTGGCTGGCCTGGTGTCTGGCTCTGGGAAGGCCTGGTATCGTGTCTGCCAGGGTGTGAGCACGTGCCCATGTGGGCGTGGGGGACAGGCAGGGGCTGCGAATGCCGCGTGTGTAGCCCCCAAATGCGTCTGTGTGTGTCCGTGTCCACGGAGACATCCCCACACTCGGCCGTGCGCACAGGGGAAGCGCCCCCTCAGATGGGCCCAGGCCTGAACACGACCCAGGGATGCTCACCTGCACACGTTCACCAATGGTCCTCGAGAGGAGGAGCCAAAAGGAAAGGCAGGGCCAAGCTCCTTGTGAACCGAGTCTGGGCCCTCCAGGCCCCGCCCCCGCACCCAGGCCCCGCCTCTCTTCCCCAGGCTCCGCCTATTTAATCCTGGTCCCGCCCACCAGGCTCCACCAAACGAGCCCCTCCCTTCTAGGTTCGTCCCTCTACCGGCCCTGCCCCTCCTACCTGGACACCGAGGCCGCACACACTTCTGTGCCTCCAGGGGGCGCCCGGGACATGCATCCCCAGTGGGGCTCGGGCAGCGGCGGCGGCGCAGACGACGACCTGGCCCGCAGCTCCCTGAACAGGGACCCCACGGGCCCCACGCTCCCCACGCGGCCTCTGCAGGGGGGGCGGTGGGGAGGGTCAGGCGGCCGCCCACCCTCGGGACTGCATCTTGAACAGCTGTTGACAGTGTGGGACCGGAAGACTCCCCCGCCACGTGCACCCAAGGGCAGTGCTCCGAGCAGAAGCCCTGCCCACTGCTCCACCCAAGGCTCCCCGAGGCGCACTGTCGAAGGTGCAGTTGAGGTACCTACCCCCTCCCTCCCCGAGGTTAACCTGCTGTTCCACCTGCGTCTCAAACACATTGTGGGCTCAAAACACTCCCGCACAGGACGGAGCTGGACAAGTGAAGGCAGCGAGAGGGGGATGTGCTCCTCGGGGCCCCTGCCTGCCCCCGACCTGGGACTCAAGCTAAACCCAGCTCTCCCTGCAGAAGCTTCGCCCTCATCAGGTCCTGCCCTCTGCCAGGGCCCTGCTGCTGAAGGACCCGCCCTCCCCCGCCGCAGGGCCTAAATCCACAAAAACCTGGGACCCCCCGCCCCTCGAAGCCCCGCCCTCACCGCGAGGGCAGCGGAAGCGCACGTGGTAGTTGGAGCAGCGGCGGCCGCGCGGCT